CGTAGTATAATCCAAAGTGAATAAAAAACAACTTTTTCAAATTTTAATATTGATACTTGAGGCTTCCCGAGTGACAAAAGCTGCATACGGACATAGATCGATCACTGATTATGGCGAGAAGGCGAAACGCCTCGACGAAACAATGAGAGTAAGCAGACCGAAAATGACCAAAAACGACCAACCTATAATTTTTTATTTAATTATGTTAATTGTTTATTATTATTATTAAACCTATTATATTTGGTGGTCTGATTGACCGAATAATTTCTTTCAATTAATTAATCTTTTTATGAGTTATCTTATGAGTTTTCCCTCCTTTTTGCCATTTTTCAAATGTCGAGTAATCGATTTGGATTCTCGATGACAATTGAAATGGCGACGGAGAGCTTTAGTGAAGTGTACTTCAGTTAATTCATTAAATTCACTAATTTCGTGGTCCGCTTGACCAATTAATATTTTTTTTTTCATTTATTTGTTACCTATACATGATAGTATACTATACAAATATGTACTCATGATTAATATATCACACATCACAACACTAGCACTAATGCCAGCACTGCACCCGTAAAACACATGCTTTGAGGAGCCATTGCTGGCACTCAGTGTGCATGATTACGGGTCAAGGAGGTCCCGAGGCTATCGTCGGGTGAGGCGATGTGGTGGGTTGTCAGGCTGGGAATGAGTGGAGAGGACTGGAACAGTATGGTTAGGATGATTCGAAAAGTTAGTGTGGAAGGTTTGCAATCTAGACCGGATTAGTTCGTTGACAAAAGGAATGTTGAGGTCTTTGTGGATAGTGAGGTCAATGATATAATAAGATGCTTTGACAATTTGTCTAAGGACTTTCCATTGGAAGGACTGGATGCGCTGGGTATGGGAAGACTTGGAAGTAGCCCACAGTTCACTCCGTATGTCCGTATAGGTCTTAGTAAAATCTTGTACGGTGTTAGCTTTGTCTTAATTGTCGAAGTCGATTTCGGTCTTAGAAGTCTTCCTAGTAGTCCACGCCTTGTATTAAGTTGTTGTTCCTTAAGTCTTGTAGTGGGGATTCACCTCAGTCTGCTGTCGAGATAGTCCCAGGTATTTTCCAATAGAGTGGAAACTGGTATCTCTTTTTTTATTGATGTACAATGGAGGGCAAGACTGTTTTTTTTTTTTTTTTTTTTTTTTTTTTTTTTTTTTTTTTTTTTTTTTAACGTTAAAGTACACTGAGTGCATTTTTCTTCGTTCAGTCTTGTCCTCCATTGCATCAGTCTTCGATAAACTAAAGGTGTTCCTGGATGTTGGAGGTAGATAGAGGATTCGAGTTGGACAATAGGATTGCGTTGTGAACGGTAAAAGTAAATTATTGGCGAGAATGGACGGGGTTCAACCCAGCCACAAAATGTCTCGAGTACTTTTTTTAAAGATAGTACCTACTCATAGTTAAAGTGTTTTTTTTTTCTATCGAGTACTGTGTGTGAATGCGAATGTGTATATATACGTTGAATGTCTATTCTGTATTTGACAAATTGACGTATTTAGAATCGGGCCATTCAAATGACTGAAAAATTGAAAATTACGCTTGAAAGACCAGATAACAAATTCAAAATACGCAGCGGGCCGGCGATGTCCTCCTCTATTCTCTGAACCTCCCCCATTATGATATACTATCTCTAAGAGCTTAATCCGTTTTGGTGTTAAGAACGATTTTTTAAATCGTAGTTGTTTGCGCTAAAATAGCAGAATTATTTTCAAAGTGTTGACTCCTTTACGTCATACCAAGATAGCCCGTTTCATTTTATATAAGCACTATATTTGAAGAAATAAGAGGTACATTATCGGTAATTATTTCTTTCAGGTCGATATGTTTCTTCCGAATTGATACATGGCGTAATGAAAGTTATATTTCTATAGCGAACTAAGTATCATGCCTTACTTGACTAAGTTCTACTGGTTAAATTGGTGGATTAAATTGCTAAGTGGTCGAGTGTTACTTTTACAAGGCGAACCCCTTAGGGAAACAGGTAAATTGGTTACTGACGAGAAAGGTAAAATTGATTGGGAACGCTGGATCTCCACTGCTTCGATTTACTAACCAAGCCTTGGAAGTGGCTCTGATCTAATTACAGAAACTTCAAAAGACCCGGGCATAGCTGGTGAAAACACCCCAGTTCCTCTTTCAAAGTGCCGGCACTGACAAATTATTCATCCCTCATTTGGCACTCGTATACCCTCAAAGATTCAACTGTCAATTAAGTTACTTTTTAATACTTCCGAGTTTATACTTACTCTGCTTATACCGGCGAGTTGTTTCTCAAGATGTTCTTTCGATTAGACGACGGCGAAGTTGTTTTAAAGTTCGGTCCAGAAATTATAAGACTTTACAAATTTAAGGGGAATCAGGAAATTTCAACTTGGTAAAAGTACTTCAGTGTAAAATCCATATTAATTCTGCTTTATTATAATTATATTATTATATAACAATCTTTGTTGACTTTGTTAATTTAAAGTAGACTGTATTTATGCGGGTGTTAAACAGTTAAATGTCAATACTGCCATGGTGGATTCACTAAATAAAACTTAGTTTAGTGCCACCAAGATGTGGTTTCTATCTTGACTCTTTCCTGAGATATTAACGTTTTTGTGACTATAGTTTAAAATCATTTAACATAAAATCGTAATTTCTCGACTTTAGCATCATTAAAATAAAAATCTGATACTTTATTTGATAAACTATATTAAATTTTTTACAAGATAACGGTTCCGTTGAAAGATTTGCGCTTCCTAATACACCGTAGTCGTCCAAAGAATAACAAATGGCAAAAGCCGATTTTTTTTTTTTTTTTTTTTTAAATACTCAATTGTGGCTTGTGCAAATGACTTTTCCATCAAAATTTTCGGGGATCTGTCTAATATTGCCTTATTTTATACGTATTCTAAGAATATACTCATTTTTACATGTTTTATTACTTTTCTTAGAGAAATCTTTTTTTGGAAGGTTGAAAAACGTGATATCGAACCCAAATAGAGCAGTAAAACAAGAAAATAGCACATGCCATTTTTTTATTTAAAACATTTATTAGTTGGTAACAAAAACCAGATATATTCTTCTCATAAAGTGTACATAATTAAAGAAAAATTACAATAAAAATGAAACTTCATTAAATTATGCATTTCTTGCAAATTAACTGACATATTGCTTGAAATGCTTTTCTTTGTATTGGATCGCGAATGTAGAACAACCGACGTGACTGCATGGAGGACTTCTTCCCTTCTTTTCCTCATGTCATTGCACGTGATTTCAATTATCTCTATGAGCTGTCCCCTCGTTTCCATGGGTGTGCTGTACAATGCACTTTTCAGAATTCCCCTTATTTAAAATCTAGTGGGGATATCATGGCTCCTCTGTGGCCATAATACCATGCAATGAGAAGAATTTTAATTTTAAAATCAGATTTTTTACATAAAATCGTAATTTCTCGACTTTAGCGTCATTAAAATACAAAGTCATTTATTTGATAAACTATATTAATTTTTTTACAAGATAACGGTTCCGTTGAAAGATTTGCGCTTCCTAATACACCGTTGTCGTCCAAAGAATAACAAATGGCAAAACCCACGTTTATTTGGAAATAATCAGTTGTGGCTCGTGTAATGACGTTCCATCAAAATTTTCTGGAATTTCACCAAAGTTGCCTTCCTTTATAAGTATTCAAAGAACATACTAACTTTTACATTTTTTCGAACTTTTCTTACCGAAGTCATCCTGTGCAACCCAAGAACATCGTATATGTCATATTTATTAGTTGGTTACAGATACATTTTTAACCAAATTTATACTAAACTCGATGAAATAAAACGTTACTAAAAACATTCCATTCGGTGATTTTGTAAGTACCGATTTAAATAGTGCCTATTTAGTTACTAATTTCTTGGAAAATAATTTAATATTTTTTTACATTTCGCTAAATCAACCCGGCCAGATCATAGTTGAAATAAAGAATTTGTGGATCAATCTTTTTAGTAACTACTGTTTAATATGTTGATTAAAAGTAGCATGAGTTAAAAATTATAGCACAGAAAATCATTGTTGATCAAATATTATCAACTTATTATTATTATATTATTTTAAGTAATTTTTATGTAAGGTATTAGTTGAGATAAAAAAGTCAGTGTTACGAGTGAGATTCGAACCCACGACCTTCGGCTATATACCCAACTGCTCTACCACTTGAGCTATCGTGACTTCGATCCACTCGGACAGCAATTTCCCATACCAACCCAACCTTTCGAATTTTGCCTCCTTTTTGCCATTTTCCAAATGTCGTTTAATCAGGATTCGATTCTCGGGGAAATATGAAGTGGCCACCGAGAGCTTTAGTGAAGATATACTTCAGTTTAATTATTAAATCCATTATTTTTCATAGTCCGATTGACCAAATAACCTCTTTCAATTACTTAATTTTTATGTAAGGTATTGGTTGAGATAAAAAAGTTTAAAAAAGTAAAAAAGAGATAAAAAAACCCGCTCGCGTCACTCACTTTTTATGTCAGCCAATACCGTACATAAAAATTAATTAATTGAAAAAGGTTATTTGGTCAATCGGACCACAAAATATAATGGTTTATTTTAAGGTTATAATTGATGTACCGTATCAGTCGTGATATTTTCTACATAAGGGCGCATGGGGATACCGAATTTATCTTTTACGTAAACTTGAATTTCAAAAGTAAAAGCAATAGTCTAAAAGTATTGCGTTTAGATGACTTTTAAATAGAGAAGAGCGGATGAAGAAAAGGTGTCAGTTAAACGCGTTTCGACCTTCCACATTTTCATTGTAGATCTTCCCGCTGTTTTCTTTAAGAAATTCTTCACATAAGATGGCACAAAGCAGAAACGAAGTTGATGAAATGGGGTTACTAAATTTACGTAAAATTGAATAACCAAGTAAAAATAATTTACATTGAAATACAAAGATGTACATATTTAAACAAAATGATAAAATAATATAAAAGAGGAAGGAATTGTTTGATTTAATATGGAAACTAAAAAGGAGGCGTCTATCAAAAAACTTAATTATCCTTTTCCTCTGTATGCTAGTATTAAATTTTCATGTTACTCTTTCCGCAATTGATAGTTGGAAAACCCAGGAGGCGAGTTTTTTCCTACCTCTTTCAAAAATTTTTTTCTCTGGCTTAGATCATGTTCCTTGGTTTTTATCTGAGAGGTGTTAACTCTGAAAAAATGATTATGAATAATCCATATTGGAAATAAAATTACTGACCGTTTGATAGAAAGAGCAGGGAATTTACTACCTGTTGAGATCAACATAATGCTTGTTGATATTGGAAGACACCGCCGCGCCGACAGGACATTCATCATAGTCCATCTAAAAATAAGATAAAACAAGTGAATTAGGCACAAAAATCGATCCTCCACCTAGCCTAAGAATACTTCAAGAACTCTCGCAAATTACGGTATACCGTCAAGCCGAACCAATTCTGTTCGTTAAAATATTATATTTTCGACAGCTCCTAAGGGGCTTTTTGGGTTGTATTGGCATCGAAATATACAAACCTATGCCATTTTTACAAACGCTAAAAACAGATCGGATCTGCACATGCATGTAGATTTATATTCACTTATATAAAGAATTCAGCCTGTCACTTCTCGCAGACCACCAGTGATTCCAGCTTTTGTAATTACCGGCGTCCTCGAGAAGCACCTACCCCGGTGATAGGAGTCCGGAATCGGGCCTCGGTCTTATAAGTAATTTTAGCAATGATAGTCAATGACCTAGTAATTTTTAGAAGAAAGCTAGAGTCATTGGCACTACACGAAGATACTAGGAAAGAACAATAAGCCAGAAGGACGCAGTACATCATCATCTATTTCTACCAAAACCATGAAGGAAATACATTTTTTTAGCCTTGTAGTTAGAAGAAAAACGTAAAAACTCAATTAGTTTAGCACTATCATCACAAGCTATTACAACGAAACTCTGTAACATAGTATTAAATAATTTTATCAAAATATTGATTAAAAAATGGTATTTGTTGGTAAATTAGGGAGAAAATTGGGATCAAATATAATTTGTACGAAGTTTTGATAAAATGATTATTTAGAGATCGTGAGATGCGGTCTGGTGTGACGTAGGTTTAGAAAAACATTTTCTTTATCATGCCAACGTTTCGATCTTTATCGGGATCATCTTCAGTGCCGGGGATTTGTAAACATTTTGAAATTATATAAATACATACGAGATATGACTACGAATTTATAAAATGATATACACAATATAGAAATTTTAGTTTTAACCAAACTATTTGAACTTGCTCAAAGTATGTTTTTTTGTGTAGATGTATCGTTACTGGTGTGAATAAGACTGATGTAATTTACAAAATCAATTGTATAAATTGTCCGGCAACATACATGTAATACATCCAAATATCTGAATAAGAGGGTTAAACAACATGTCTATGATTGCAAAACAACCAAACAGAATCCTACAGCAGTGGCTATCCATCATTTTTAATACTAACGCAATTTCGATTTCAAAATCCAAAAATGGTAAACATAGAGCAAAAGAAACATAAACGTAACTTTTTAGAAAGGATTTACATCAACAGAGATGAACACCGCATCAATTACCGAATATACACATTTAAACTCAGTCGTAGTTATGCCGATATCATAAATCAAATTCAATATCAATAACATATAACCCATACAAAACAGTCATTACGCTCCAAACATCGAACAATTCAACATAGTCTAAATCTTAAATAATTTATCTCTCCTTTCCCTAATAATCCCTTATAATAATCCTAATAGGATCCGGACGACAAACCATTACTCCTTTTTTCCATTGTAGGTCCCTTTCACCTCAAACAAGCCGACTCTTCAGAGAAAAATGCATTTGTATCCCTACTACCTTCCCTATTCCTTCAAAATCAAACGTATGTAAACAAAAACATTGACACACTCTCATCACGGCAGAAAACATTGACACATCTGCACAGAAAACACACACTTTGAGTGAGTACAAATTCATTGATTAAATGTAAAAATTTTATGTTGTTTACATCGTTGTATAAATTCATAGTTATATCGTATATGTATTTGTATAATTTAAACAATTTTTATAAATCCCAGGCCCTGAAGATGATTTCAATAAAAATCGAAACTTTGGCAACATTAAAGGTAATGTTTTTCTAAACCTACATCACACCAGACCACATCTCACGATCTATAAATAACCATTCGTTAACGGTCACTAAATACTACACACTTTCATAAAAATTAATAAAATGAATACCTATTAAAAAATTAATATGTTTAAAGCCATAAACCAAGAAAAATTTACTATATCAAAAAGTATGTTAAAAAAATCAAATGATTATTTATGTCAATTGTGATATCAAATTTACAAACAAAACCGGATATTCTTAAGAAACGAGCTCAATTATCATTTTTGACAAAACATATAAAACTCAATCGAGAGGTGAGATAGATAGATAGATTGATAGATGGAGAGGGAGAAAGAGAGAGAGAGAGAGAGAGAGAGAGAGAGAGAGAGTGAGATGGAGAGAATGGCAGTTTCTAATAAGTGAAAAATAATTTAGTACGAGTAAAAATAGGGCGCTTGAGACGACAGTTTTGCAAGAGCGCCACGTCGTGATGGTTAGTATCACAAGAATCCGCTCTTGTTCCCAGTATTATCAGAAGATGAAGCATAAACAAGTTAACATATGTTTTTGCTAATTACAATTTATTTATGCAAAGAAAAACAAATAAATAGATAGATAGATAGAAATTTTACATTTTACGGCACAATTTACATGTATACGCGCTTGAGGTGATTACTTAAAAAGGCAGCTTTTATTATCTACTCTACAGTGTCTCCCTCAGCGCGGGTACTGCGGTCCGTGACAAGTTTTCCCTCGACCCTCTCGTAGTGCTTTTTTTTTTGAGATATACAAAGAATTGGTGAAATAATAAGGGTGCTTGTTGTCTGAATACGGGGCACATGTCTGGAGGGTAATGAAAAGGCGTATGGACGACACAGGACATCCCCACCACCCGACTTGACAACCGCGATCCATCACTCTGAGGCTAAGAATGCAACAAAAAACACGATTAAAAGAAGGAGGAAGCGTCGATGGATTGGGTCGACAGAAAAACTCTTACGTATCAACAACACTGTTGATGGGTGGCCCTTGTAGAAGGGTCATCCTCACCCGGTTAAGAATAGGCCATGCGGGTTTGACACACGGACACTTACTACACCGTGTATGTGTCCGTCTTGCAGAGAAATGTTGCTTGGTGTGTTACACATAATTGATGGTTGCAATTCCTCAGCTCCATACAGGAATGCCACCCGGTTTGCGAATTATGCTTGATCACGGCAGTGAGTATTTGGATCCCCTGTTCCGAATCTTAGAGGAAACGAAATTGTTCTATTGTATATTGTAATAATAGTTGTGTATAGTTTGTGTGCGAATGTATTTATTAGCGTGAATGCGTGATGTGAAAGTGTCGATGGTGGAATATCGAGTACCCCGTCGACCCTCATTTAACGAGTGGTAGATAAAATAGGAGAGAATGTGTGAATCAATGTGTTTGGAACTGTATGCGTTTGGTGGTGAGTTGACCGAGCTGTTCACAGCATCACCCCGTAGCCCAACTTGAGTCTGTCCCCGGAATGCCAAACCCGGAGTGGGTGCTACTCCAGTCTGCCGGCAATTTACTGTAAATAGCAAAAGCTGGAATTGGTCTAGGGAAAGCGAATAGACTCAACACGGCGTTTTTTTGATTGTATGTACATGTGCGGATTTTAGCCTATATAAAGAAACAAATGTTTTGCATTTACAGTATGATACAAAAAACAAAAATTTTCTATAAAATCCTATTCTCCCATCCATAATGTAAAAGTAAAAATATTTGTCTGTTATATCAATATGATATTTGTGGTTTAATCCCAGTTTTCAATGAAACGCTTCTATTTTCCCTGTATAATGCTCAGTGAATGGGGATTAACGCTATGTGCCCTTTCGAGACGTTCATTATCTTAGCTTACCTGCCTGATTTCAAAGCGGACTGAACCTACTCCTGAGCGATTAAGCCTGTTGTGATCTACATAATCCTACTAAGCGAGGGGGTTCGCACTATCTTATCATCTTTAGTCTTCCGAACAGGTTCTGTTATCACATTCTCGAACATACAAGTGTCTGACAACAATATTAGTACCTTTTCTCTTTAAGTATTCTGTATGTTCCTAAAATTGCAATTCCTAAAATACGTCGTGTATTGTTATATATGATGTTTGTAATATACGTCCGCTATGAGTTTCATGTCGTATTTTGTTCGCAATTTGTGTAAGGGCTTTAGAAAATAAATTGATATAACCATTGAGAAAATATGAAAGAATATTAGAAACTAAACAATATTTTCATAGTATGGCTTGATTTAGATTTTATTACATGAAATCTAAAGCAGGACACACTGATATTATTTTCTCTCCGCCCCATCAAAACGAGATAAATATTACCGTTCGTTTGTTCTCGTTTATTAATGTGCAAAATAGAAAGGGAGAGGGTGGGCTGATATCAAAGTAAATTCCTTACAATTTCATAAATCAGAAATGTGTACAATTCGTTTTGTACCCCCTTAATAATACCGTATCCTTTGCCCCCTGGTACGAACAATTCCCTTATAAGAAAGGAACAATTTAAGAAGCCAGACAAAATCTTATATCGCTTGGGTTACAAGTCCTTTTTCGTTAGAAATTTTAGATGATCGAATAATTCAACCTGACCTGGAAACATAATATAGATGAATCCAGAACGATCAGAATGTTGATGTATCAGAAACTCGTCTATAAGAGATTAACCGGGCAGTAACTAACTAAACGAAACGCGAACAACTAAACACAATTTATTATGTTTTCATGCTACTTTCTCATAAGGGGTTGTTGGACCTCTAGCTTAGATGTTATGTTTTTAAGAAAAAGAATAATTCAGGAGGAAATCAGATACAATTTATGATGTACAGATGGCTACAAAACAAATAAAGAAACCAGATGCGTTTCTGTTCGAGCTCTGCAAGAGCGACCAAACTCATTATGGAAGTATAGCTCGGTCTTTCAAGCTAAAATAATGCCATCATAGTCTGTGCCTTCGAAATTAGGCTTTGTGGTCCGATTGTCAAAACAAATTCTTTTCAATTAATTAATCATTAAGTAAGGTATTGGTTGAGATGAAAAAGTCAGTGTCACGAGCGGGATTCGAACCCACGACCTTCCACAAAATACGCCCTCTACCACTTGAGCTATCGTGACTTCGATCCACTTGGACACCAACTTCCCATCTTTCGAATTTTCCCTCTTTTTTGAGATTTTTAAAATGTCGTGTAATCTATTCGATTCTCGGCGACAAATGAAATGGTCACGGAGAGCTTTAGTGAAGTATACTTCATTTGAATAATGACATTTGAAAAATGGCAAAAAAGAGGAAAAATTCAAAAGGTGGGTTGAGGTGGGATGTTGCTGACCGAGTAGATCCAAGTCACGATAGCTCAAGTGGAAGAGCAGCGGCGTATTTTTTCGAAGGTCGTGGGATCGAATCCCGCTCATGACACTGACTTTTTTATCTCAACCAATAACTTACTTTGTTGGTAATTGAAAAAATCTTAAATAAGGTTACACTAAAAAAAATCATAATTTTGGATAGCCAAGTAGCTAGCTATTAAACCATTATCATGTAAAACATCCAAAAAAAATTAGTCAGTGATTGCTTCATGTCGCTTCCAAAATCATAAAAACTTGGTAATAACAACCAGACGAGTACCAGAACACATGGGAATTTTGAGGAGCGAAAAGGCAGACATACCTGGTCAATGGAGGGTCTGCAAGATCGCAATGCCGTATGTGAGTCCTGAACTATTGGCCTTATGATAACAAAATCAAACATAGAATAAAAAATGCAAAATCATAAATGATTATACTCTGCTAGACACAGTACGACAATGCTAAAACAAACCACACCAATACTGACAAACTGACAAGCCGTCATAATGCGGAAGTTTAATATTGTTTTAATTCCTGTCTTAACTACGTTTTACGCAGTCGAAACAATCAAAAATAACAAATCTAAAAATCAAAAGACAATATTTCAGTTTTTACTGGATTCGGAGAACGTTTTTATTTTGCCTGATTGCATAATCATTAAATATTATTTGCCAAAATGTACAGGGTGTTACAGGGAAAAATGTCAATACTGCTATGGTGAATTCACTAAATAAAACTTAGTTCAGTGCCACCAGGACGAGGTTACTATCTTTGACTCATTCCTGAGATTTTTGTGCTTTTTGTCTAAAATCAGATTTTTTAACATAAAATTGTAATTTCTCATAATTAAAATACAAATTTGACCTTTATTTCGCAAAGTACAATTAATTTTCCCCAAGATAATAACATTTCCGATGAAAAGTTCCCGCTACCTAATACACCGGTTTTTTTTTATCCAACAAAATTTTTGAGGATTATTCCAAGAACATACTCAGTTTTACATTCTTGGTGAAATCGTTTTTGCAAGGTTGAGTAACGTGAATCGAACTCAAATAGAGCAGCAACACAAAAAATAGTACATGTCATTCTTTTAAATTAAACATTTATTAGTTGGTACCAAAAACCTGATATATTCTTCTTCTTTCTTTTTATTGGAAATAAATGTGGCTGGTGCAATGACTTTGTATCAAAATCTTCGGGGGATTGAACCAAATTTGCATTATTTTATACGTATTCCGAGATTTCACGTCATTTTTTTAACTGAAACATTTATTAGTTGGTAACAAAAACCAGATATATCCTTCTCATAGTGTACATAATTTAAAAAAATTACAATAAAAATGAAATTATGTCTTTCTTGCAAATTAACTGACGTATTGTTTAAAATGCGAGAGAACAACAACCCAAAAACATCGTGTAAGATTTATTTTTAATGAATAAAAACATTTATTAGTTGGTAACAAATACATATTTATACTAAACTGTATGGGAAAGAAAACATTTCTGAAGGTCACGTTGCGTTCAGTGATTTTGTAAGTACCGGTCTAAATTTTGACTATTTAGTTCATAATTTCTTCGAAAATATTTTAATATATTTTTTTAAATTTACGCTAAATAAACGAGATCAGTTCATAGTTAAAAATAAGAAATTGGTATATATATCGTTTTATTTCTTTTATCTATTGATCTTGACTCTTTCCTAAGATGTTAACGTTTTTGTGATTTTAGTCTGAAATCAGATTTTTTTTTACATAAGATCGTGTACATAAAACATAAATGTGGTTCTTTATTTCGCAAACTACGTTAACGTTAACCTAACGCAGTTGCCGCTCAAAGAATAACAAATGGCTAAACTCATGTTTTTTTGGAATACTAAATGCCTCATGGAATGGCGTTTCCATCAAAATTTTCCAGGATTTAACCTACATTGCCTTCCTTTATAACTATTCCAAGGACATACTTATTTTACATTTTTTAGAACTTGTCTTAGTGGAATCTCTTTTGCAAGGTTGAAAAACGTGATATGTACCTTAATTTTGAAAATGGCAAAAGGAGGGAAAACTCATAAGGTGGGGTTGGGTTGGGGAGTTGATGTCCGAGTGGATCGAGGTCACGATAGCTCAGGTGGTAGAGCAGCATCGTATCAAGCCGAAGGTCGTGGGTTCGAATCCCTCTCGTGCCATTAACTTTTTTTCATCTCAACTAAAAACCTTAACTAATTGAAATGATTTAATTGGCCAAGCGGACCACGATATTAGTGTATGTAAAAATAAGTATGTCCTTGGAATACTTATAAAGAAAGGCAACTTTGGTGCAACACTAGAAAATGTTGATGGAAAACGTCATCATGTGGAAAATTTAATATAATTTACGAAATAAAGGTCAGATTTGTATTTTAAAACCGCTAAAGTTGAGTAATTAGCTTGTATGTCAATTTCTCAGACTGAACATCTCACTGGACATATTACGTATGCAGGTCTACAGGGAAATAACACAGGTGCTTAAGTTCGTCGTATCATGCATCTTCCCCCTCGGGCTTACAAACCTGCCCAACTAACGTCGGTGCTATCAAACGTTTCTCTTAATAGTTTACATCGAATAAATAATTTATTTGCATTAGTTTAAAATTGAAATAAATTCGGCTGTAATTAAGCAGTTTTTTGTACATTAACTGGTAACAGCCAGAGCAAAATTGAAAATTTAATCCATGGTCATGATATTCAGACAATATAACGTTCAAATATAAAACTGCCACATTCATGAGATTTTAGTGTAGTATTAAAAATACTGGATGTTAGTTAATTTTATACGTCAGGTATTCAAAATATTTATTATTAAGAAACATAAAATAGAAATACCAGAATGAATACTAGAAAAGGGATCAAGGAAGCTGATCGTTCCAGGCTGGAGGCTGAACTAAAACTCGACTTGACGGGACCAGAAATGTCGGCTTCTCTACTTTTTAAAAGGATAGTTCCTACTCACAGTAAGTTGTTTTGCAACGATCCGGATTTCGAGCCTTTTAGCTCATCATCAGGTTGAAGGACTTCCACAACCACGTCTCTCGACATGAATTGCCAAAGTGAACCGCTGATACCTCCGTCAACGCGACGTTCCAATTAGCAGCTGATTTTTTTAATGACGCTCAATTTGAATCATTGGCGGAGGTATCAGCGGTTCACTTTGGCAATTCATGTCGAGAGACGTGGTTGTGGAAGTCCTTCAACCTGATGATGAGCTAAAAGGCTCGAAATCCGGATCGTTGCAAAACAACTTACTGTCAATAGGAACTATCCTTTTAAAAAGTATTGAACACCACACTCACTCCATCATTTATCATTTCTATATGTCGGCTTCTCTGTTCTAACCGCATTATTTTAGTTCACATGGTTTGCTTTCGTTTCATCTGTCATCTGTTCAGAAAAGCAGTTAGCCATGGTTGTAACAATTGCAAGCAAATAATTACTGCATCGCAGCAATAAGTTTAATTAGCAACCAAAGCTTGCTGATCGCATCAGGAGTATAACTTACAGAGTTACAAAATTGTACTGAATCTGAAGAAAATACTTCCATTTATTAAGCATATTCTACAAATACCTTGGGCTTTTCGAACCTTCCATTATAATACAGGCACAGCCGGATGACAGAATCTTTCCACTGGACAAGTGTGAATGGGCCGTTTTTCGGACCGTAAAGGCTCCAGATAAACCGGTAAAAAGTGAAATTCAAAGTTAAATGGGCTGGAAGAGATTTGCCAATAGAAGAAGAAAAAGGTGTCCGGGCACTCCCACTTTCATTCAATAAAAAAAAATCAGGTTACAGGAACGAACGATGTATTTGATTTTGCCACGTGAACGAACACACTCCATAGAACGGAAACTCCTTTTATCACGGAATGAATTAATTTACGTTAAAAAAAATCTCTAATGGCTGACAATGGAGGTTCCGTCAAGACTTATCGAAAACGCGCTTGGCTGCCCTCTTCGTTTTAAAGAAATGACATTGATTTCATTCAGAACGAATATCCTTTCTTCTAAATATTGTATAAATTCAACTTCGTAAATGTTATTTATGTCTCTTTTATTTTACTAAATTTAGTTATTTTCTTCTTGTTAAGATTGCCGAGCATCTTTCATTAGTCGTTATCATTATTTACGCAGTGAATTTTTTCATCCAAATTTTTCTTCTTTTTTAAATTCAAATCAACCGTTTTCTCTACAAATAAGAAATAAGTTTTACTCGAG